CCCCCCCCCCCCTCTTAACCACTAATGATCTATTGATAGGTGCAGTGAGCTTGTGAAGATCTCTAACTGATCAAGTTATGTTTTTGTTGGGATTTTATAACGCAGTATCTGTGCTAATGCGATACTCAACACCGCCAACTACATATACATATACGATTGCAAGGTTATTTTATATAATCGAAGTTAACGTATGTATATCCAAGAACAACTAAGAGCGATCTTCGGAATTAAAAGTTCGGTATGTTATACATTTAATTATTTGCATTGCTTTTTAGGATTATTACTGCATTTACGTGGCGTGCATGGGTGTTTCATGCATGTAAATAAAGTGCTTTTAAATATTATAGTGAAATCTAATGATTGAAATCATTCATACTGCAAGTAATTAGCGCGTTCCTGCTCCGTGGCATTCATGTGATAGACAAATTCTCGCAAGACATTTTTGACGTTGAGGTTTGTCATTACGAAGGTTTGCGGAGTCCCTGCTGAACTGTAATAGTTACGAAAATTTAAAAGAGTGCTCGAACATACATCTAAACCAGTTATGTAATAAGATATTGATTATAATGCCCGCTCTGTCTAATTAAAGCACTATACTAGTATTTTTTTTGAAAAAATGAAAATTACATTTGGATTGGAGAAGTTGCGCAAATATTTGAACAGCCGCATTGACTGTCGTTATCAGGAATATAGCACGGTTTATAATAAAGAACTTTGTAATTATTGAGCTGAAGACAAAGATGCCCTCCCAGGGCAGTTGTACGATTGGTCTGAGACGGCTCCCATTATTTAAAGAATTAATTACAATACATTTTGGATATCCTTACCCGTTAGCAGCTCCTGATAATAGAATAGTGCTTGTGATGAAGCTCATAAACTTGATTGAGAAACTCCTGAATGACATTTTTATCTGTAAAATAGAATACGAAACGGATTATTAGGTTATATTACGTCTTCCATAACCTTTGAGTGAAATCGTAATGTCGGATAGATCAGAGTGTAACTCAAGGAATATTCTCCGCAGATAAGATTCCATATACACAAGATAATTACATGCATGGTGTATAACATACATATTTACGTATATAAACCAATAATTTAATTGTTTTATGTTAGATGAACTTTACGTAACTGTATTATGCTGTTGATATACATAAATAATGCTTACTCGGTTATAATGTAGTAAACTATGAGCTGTCCTTCTTCCGTGATTATATGCGTTTTGTGTAATCTTTCGTCGTTATATAAACGTGAGGTGTTACTCGTTTCTTGATGGACTACTCATATTTATTCAGCAGTTTCTTGGTAATGCTGACAATTCCTGAAAATATGTAAGTACTTATCTTGTTAAAGAAGTCATCTGGAATATATGATATTTGATTCGCAACTTGAATATTTAGTTAAAGTAATTATTGTTAAAATTATAGTTTATCGTATCGAATGTGAATTGTTTTTTTTAATAAGTAAGCATATTCAAATCAAGTATCAATGGCGCTTGTGCAAGTCGCCTGCGCAGTCTACTCCAGTGAAGTTTACGTAGCGACTGTAGCATTGCACGTGTTTCGATTGATCATGTGTTGAGTTAAAAAACGTAAATGTTTATCACTCGAAGTATCTGATTTTATAAGTGACAAAATGGATACATCGGATAGTACAGTTTCGTTTACCACAGCGCCAGGATTCTGCCCAGATTGTGGATCAATCCTTCCGTTATTAGGAGACCAAGGAGGAGTCACTTGTTATTCTTGTCGAAGAACTTGGAATGCTGAGGGTATGTACTGCGCTTGTGCTAACCTAACCTAATCTACCTCGGTAATCAAATTTGAATTTTCATAGAAATTTAACCAGCTTTTATCTTGGGATGATTAATAGGGATGGTGATTGGTTGAACTAGGAGTTGTTTGTATTATATTTCAACATGATTTTATTCAACGTTAATAATGGTTCCTAGTATTGTAGAAATTAATGGATTCTAATGATTTATTGCAATGTTTTCCCTTTTCAGTCTTTGGAGATATGGCTATCTCTTATAATATTCACTTTAACGATCTTAATGCATATTCCACATCCATGCAAAAAGATGATGAGGATGATGAGGCAGATGGACCTGTAGTAGATAGACGGTGTCCACAATGTCAAAATGATAAGATGTCCTATGCAACTCTTCAGTTACGCTCAGCAGATGAAGGGCAGACAGTCTTTTATACATGTACAAAGTGCAAGTAAGTATTTTACTTTCAAGTATTTTGGTTTTAAGAAGTCCAATCAAAATAGTATTGTTCTGTTTCTTTATAGGTTCAAGGAAACTGAAAACTCATAAATATATTTTATAAGTTTTTACTTCTATTTGTTATATAAAACAACACCTTTACTTAATGATATTGTTACTTGTTGGTAAGTGATACGCCGAAGTTACAGATAAACATAATGAGGAATAAATGATTGAGAAATTATTAATAAAACATAGAACTTTATTTATATTACATTCAACGAATAATGGATTGTTGGGTATACAAGCACTTCGTAATACTATATGGGTGGTTGTTACTGTTCTCATTTTAACAATACTTAACTAGTTCAATCGTACATTAATTAAGTAATCTTGTATGTACAAGAGGTCAAGGTTAAAAGGTAACAATTATCTTAGTAAATTCATGTAAATCCACCCATCGAGAACTGCGCAGTGGTCCTTGGATTACAACCGACTGCAATAGTCAATGACTATGACAGTCTGTTATTTGCACTACTGTGCACTTTGACATTGTTTTTCTGCTTTACAAAATACTACTACATCTATAGTAACAATGATGAACATTGAAGATATGCTGTCCATAAGGGATATCAGATTAAAAGAGAAAGAACTAGGACCAAGATGTATATGAATTCAATATACCAATTAAGTGTAAAACTACGTTATTAATAACATTATTATCAACAGTGAAAGTAACCAACTATTGCTTTCGCAGGCAAATTTTTCGATCTGTACTTTCTCTATAAAACAAGGAAAAATCGGTTATGTATTTCAAAAAGGAATGGAAAGTAGGAATCGGTTGACCGCTGTACGTCTTGTCAAAATAATAGAGTCAAACACCGAAATAAGAAATGTAGCATACAAATGTGTGATATATCTATTAGAAATTTTTTGTTCATGAAATTGATTTGGAAGTAACAGGCATATTTATTCTAAAATTGTTTTAAAAAATGATTTTTATCAAAGACCTTCATCTTATAATGGTCGCATTGTTATCGCAATTTTCAATTGTTCGTATCCGTAATTAGTAAAACGGTCAAGTATTTCGACTATTATTTACACGAACACTTAATATATATGTTACATATCGTACATAAAACTATGTACAAGTGTTAGGTTATTTACAGAGTTGGGTATTTCGGTATCTTTCCTCTATCTTTAAAAGTAGATTGTCTCTCTAGTGTCTATGCCTAGATCATGAAGGTGTATCGAAACATTCATCCAAGAAATTTTCTAGGGAATGATACAAGTGCGCTCTAGACTGAGCGATTCCATGATCTTCATCTGTGTATGTCTAAAACAGAAAGAATATTACATTAAGTTACCTACAAATAAGATTGTTTTGTTAATTATAAATGAATAATGATTAAAAATAAATTTCCTAAGTGACGTAAATAAGTACATTAATTATACATCTGGTGATTGAAATTCTTATAGATGCTAATACAAAACATATGTCACAGCTGAATCACATTTGTACAAAAAATTCTATTGAAATTATGTGAGCTGTTAAGTGTTATTAAGTAACCATAAAATTAAGCGACCTGTAACGTGACTACAATCACGTATCGTCAAAATCGTAATTTATTCAAGTTTTAGATTAATGTGATCAAACGCACTGTTTAGTATCTTTCACAAACTTAACATTTCTGTACAACATTGGTGTAGACTGCAGATACATTACACATCAATTTTGAGAGTACCTGTTGTCTGAAGAGGATGTCCTTCTGTTCAAGAACTTTGGCAAGCATAAGAGATTGTTGGTAGTGGACGTTGTCGTCGAGAGTACCGTGGATAAGATAATAACTTTTAGTTTTTATGTTGTCGACCTTGTTCAAGAGTTGACCTTGTTCATAACCAACGAGGTTGTCATCGACGGTAGGAAGTCCCATGAAGCGTTCCGTGTAAATGGAGTCTGTAATAACAGGACTCATTAATTAAGTTTTCTACAAGAAGGTTGTAGGTTCGTGTTAGGTTAGGTTAGGTTAGAACATGGGTTAATGAGCCTAGGCTGTAAATTAAAAACAAGGGGAGAAGAAACGAAAGCGAACAACGCTAAAGGTGTAATTTGTACATACGCACAAAACGTTATAATGTATTTTAGTTAAATTTATGACTGTCAAGAATGCTTGTTTATTCATATTATTCTTAAACTTTCAACTTACCGTATAACGCCCAGTCTGTAACAGGTGCCACGGACATACCGCATTTGAAGACACCGTTGTAATCCATGGCCAAGGTCATCCCGGCAGCATAGCCACCATAGCTCCAACCCCAAATGGCAGTTCTGGTACTGTCTATGTATGGAAAATTCTCCTGCAAATGTCTGAAATCAAAGATTTGCAAATTATTTTATTGCGCAAAAAATTCCCGTAAAAATAAGTATCTGAGGTAATACTGAGCCAAAGTCGAAAAATCTGCCAATACTTGTAACAAGGAATGAAACAACATCAGTGGAGTCAATTAGAGGGGATCTTGCTTGTACGGGAAGGATGAAAACATTCTCGACTATGTGGATACATTATACGAAAAGAATTTGCGACAGACTTGTGAGTGAAGGAAGAAAGAAAAAATAGACACGGAAAAGATAGGGCTGATTGAAAATCGTTTTGGGGTGAAAGAAATGAGGGATTTCCTTTGTCCCCAACTGGCTCTCCAACATCGGAATCAGAAAAGACTAGGATAGTTCAACGCTTCCCTATTAAGAGGTGGCGATAGTAAATCCCTTTTTAGCTTCCTGAGTGCATTTGGACGCAATCGCATCGACGATGAAGTTCCGGTCAAATTTATTTCGATGACAGATCGACAAGTCGTCGACTTCCGACCTCTTACGGTTTTCCCAGGTCAAGCTAGACTGTCTAGCGAGTTCATAGGTTAGCATGGGATAGTTCACCACCCTTCGGAGCACTAGCATCAGCAGCGACACTCCCCAAGCTTTTGGGGTTGTATTTTGCTGGCGCGTCGTGTCCACCCATGTAAAAAGTTAGTTGTGAAATTGGAAGCCGGCCAAACGATTGCGGAATTGCCAAGGACTCTGTTTTATAATATATATTCATAATTATATGTGCGTTGTGTACATATTTGCGTGGCTACTGTGCGTAGGGGTTATTTCGCGTTTAATCGGTTAAACTTAGCTGATTTGGTTGATGTTTTTCTTAATCGTTTCCTGGTTATAAGCATTACACCTCTTTTGTCTCCTCCCTTATTGGTGTTGGCGACTCCGAAATGGATAAAGGGAAAGAGACACCAGAGCAACACTGGTTTAAAAAACTGTTATATGGCTTTTTTATCATGCGTTGGAAATGGCATGAAGTATTGATTCGTATGCTGCATTGCATAAGGCTTGAGGAAGTAAACAATTGAAATTGAATTAATATGAAATATTACAAAAAATTTGTTTATACGTAGTAAGTATACGTTGTAATACAATTTTTATTTTTTATTTTTTTTTTCAAATGGAATATTTCGAAAAAAGCTTCTATAACACCTCACTCGAATCATGAAGAAAATCATAATTTATTTAATTCTTAAGGTTTTTAAAGCTCTTTTTTACAAAAATTTATTTCTAGACCTATATTCCACATGCTACAGGATACTCGTGAATATCCGAATTTGTGATGCCAACATTGATCGATTCGGCGTAGAATTGCCCCTACATATGTGTGCGAATATAGAGGATTACTACCCCTTTTTAGTCAGTCAGCCAGGCACCAACTACTCTTTAATGCTGGACACAGTCCCTTTTTCTTTTACACCTACACAATTCGTTCTTTCATGTTCTGCGACTATTCCTCTTTTCCAAAGTGAATATCTTTTCTACTTTACCGACAGTGACTTTTCTCTTTCTGTTTTTTGTTTATACTTGAAACGAATCGCTCATCAACCCTGGTTCGGACGAGTTTTTAACAATTGCCTATTGCCTTTCAAGTTTCTTTGCGACTTTCGAGATTTCCAAGGGTCTTCTACGTGACCTCTTAGAATTGAAACTTTCAGGATTCATGGGAAACTCAGTGGAATCAGGTTGATTGATTTACCGATTCTCCATTATCAATGTAATGGAATTTCCTTACGGTTTATCATTAAGAATCAATTATCAATTGATATCAATGCCCCTTGTGTTAATGACGTTATTAGCACCCAGAGTATCGTCACGTATTTATGGTATTTGAATGAAACATTTACAGAATTTTTATTTCATTTTTTCGGCCTCGAAAAATGATTTAAGAAACTTGGACTATACATCATATCGCGAATACGTGAAATCCGCAGATAATGATGTCACGAGTAAGGGGATTTCGCTCATGTATATTAACTGATAATGAAATAAAATTTTATGCGTAAGCGCGAGAAGTGAACAAGATTATGAGAAGTTTCAATCGTTTAATGAACCATTTTTGTAATGCAAATTTAACAATCGCAATTTTTACATTTATATTTACTCAGCTGATACTAGTACTCCAGATCTCAAGGGATTGATACTAATTGCGTTAATCGATACGTTTCATGTTTTCAGCTCCCACTTATTGATGAAGAGGGTCTCTCTCCTACAGTTCCCATTTACGCATTAAAAGCAATTGGAAACTTTCTTAAAGTAAATCAAAGACATCTGCCCCAGAACGGCAAGTTTTCGTTGAATCTCGTTCCCTCGATTAGAAAATACTATGAAATTAGTATACAATATTTTTCATGTCAACTACATCATTTGAATACACGTGCTATTACACAACTTCGTAATAAATAGTGGCCCCAATTTTACTTCAATTCAATTATTCATTCGTATCACCGAAAAGTTCAAAGTTAACTGAAATATAATCCGCGAGAGTTCTAAATCGATGTCAGTAATCGAAGTTGGAAAAGGAAAATGAACTTTTTTATTCACTCAACTTATCAGCGTTTCCCGGAAGTAACTGACTTGAAGGATGTAAATGCTAAAGTATCAAGGGTTTATTCATTTTTCAGAAAATGGTTTAAGTCGTTCATTCGTGAAACTGTCATAGACGCTCGACCTGACGTTGACACGTCTGCTTTTATTTTTAACTATGCAATTTGAAAATTTAACATACTTTAATACATACTACGTTCCTGATTACCTTGAAGGCGAACCAGAACTCGAAAGAATGTCTTATCAATGACTTCTCGAAATCACATTTAACCTTCCCTTCGAATCAGCAAAATTTTCTTTCTTTTCAGAATTGTTGTCATTACAATTTCAATCATTTTGATTAATGTCAGACATTGTCCCACCTTTTATCCTCTGACATCCATTGGTCTGAGATTACCATTTGCTCGCGAGTATACTAGGGGAGTTAACCTGATAACAAAAATAGTAGCAGTTATATGTACGAACTTTTCTTTATATTGTCTTTTTCATTCTGAAACGAATATTCAATGCATAATGAGGATGATGACTATTTGGAAAGTTCTGTCAAATATAATTTTCAAGACACAAACCTCTCCTTATTGGTAGAATTTTATAGGATCAGTGTAACAAGGCTACATACATGCATACATGCTCAATTAGGCAATCCTTAAATTTAGCCGGAGGGTACAAAACCCGTATGGTAAAAGGAACCTCATTTTCCTTTTACAGAGTGAATCTTCCTCGAGGCAGTACTTGCAAAGCCTTTTCGAAAATCCGTATCAAGGACTCGTTGTTCTCTGTGAGTTTCGTGGTCGAATTTTAGTTTTGAAAAATACGCCTCGTCAAACAGCGATTTTCAGTGAGATATTACGTGCCGTGCTTTATCTATGCGAGGAATGCAGTTCTATCCAATAGCAACGATATCAACATTTCCCTGGAAAAGGCAGTCACAAGCAGTAGCAGTCACAACTGTATTCAGCCAGCTGGTCTCGTAGAACAGCTGCCACGTATAAACTCAAACCGTAGAAATGCAAACAAGTTAGCGGCTTGCCCGCAAGCACTTGGCTGTAACCAAATGCACACAGGATGAGGAAGAAGTGCTGGTTGGCGTCGAAAATGCACGAGAAGTGAGTTGGAGAGGGGATGGAGGGGTTTAAAGGGAAGAGAGGTGGTAGTCGTGGAGGCAACTGGATGCGATGGATAGGGGTTGCTGGACGAAAGTTAGCCTTCGGCTTATCCAACTAGACGGCTCAGCTTTTGCTACTCTTAACTTTAAATTAATTCAAACCGGCGCCGGTAAAGAGCGACGTAAGTCTATGGCAATAACTGAATTGGTTACAGGTGTAATATTCAAGAATTATGTCAGCTAACGGGAGAATAAAATTTTCTCAAAATTTGCAAAGTTTTTCAGATATTCAATTCGTCAAGTTGAGAAATTTGTGTCATTAGAAAATTTGATTAATGTTTTAATTGGCTGACATTCAGTTGGGAATAGTATTGGGAATCACGTACGTTTCTATGGTGTCGAATATTTTCCTGACGTGCTGTACCTACTTTGTGAGATTCTCCAGACATTGTACCTTATCAGTAGATTAATCCGAAAGTTCTGACTGTTCTGCTATCTTCTTATGAATATTCAATACATTTCGAACTTCGTTCCTAACTTTATTCTTCACGGCACTCACATTCATTGGAGACTTTTAAATATTACATATGATATATTATATAGTGTTATTCAGAGCTATTGTGCTAGTTGAGAATGGTTCTATCATGGGATTCCATAGAAATAAAATGAACGCGCCAATTTCAGCTGGCACAATAGCTCTATATAGGATTTCATAGATAGGGTTTTTATGAAAGTCGAATATTTATATTCACTTTATGTTTCCAGGAGTTGACCCTGAATTTTGATTATTGGATTTGAAAATTTTCAAGATTTCTCGTGACATAATAAAATTCCTTCCAAACGATTGTTCAATGATATATCGAAAATCCTTATAAAGCATTGAATGCATTGTTTCAAGTATTTCGTAGCATTTTTTGTTTGGTAGTAACAATGCTATATTAAAAGACACGTATTCCTTTCATCCAAATCCGACATGCCTCAGAAACAAATTGCGGGCAGGAGTATAGGTAACGCGGTAAATAAAGTTTATTTTAAATGAAAGGTCAGCGCGGAAACTGCTTGTGAGATTTATCTCTAAATCCATTTCAGAGCGATTGGTTTGTCAAAGCAAACAAAAGCCTATCAAGACCTTATCGAACCGCTGGGCTTTGCCAGCAGAGCTTTAGGGTATCAAGTTCTTCATCCTTTCCTCATTCTCGTCCTTGCACTTTTTTCCTCCTTTTCGATTTGCCGCCGAAATAAATTACCCTAGGCATACTGGTGACAAAACACAGGCACCTCGAAGGGGCGTGAGTGGATAACACGGAAGAGAGCAAGAGACAGATAAATAAAGGAAAAGAGTAATCTAGAGAGACGACAGTGTTAGAGTTGAACAAAGAATTGTTAAAGGCAGTGGGAGAAACGAGTAAATGAAGGAGAGAGATGAGCCAGGAGAAAAGGAAAAGGCAAAGTCCTTGTAATCGAACTGAACGGAATGAAAGAAAAGAAAGAGAGAGGATGGTTGGCAAGGAGAGCAAGAGAGAGAGAGAGGGAAAAGAGATAGAGAAGAGTGAGACACGATAAATTTTGTAGCAAGTAAAAGAGGAGTAGTAACAGATCCGTAACGGATGGCGAGAGAGCAGAGTGAGAGAAAGGGTCGATAAATTTAGCAAGGGGTAAGAAAGGTCAAGAGTAGCGACAGCACCGAGAGGAACGAGTGAAAAGGAATAAAGGAGAATCGAGAGAGAGAGAGAGCGTACAGGAGACGGCGAGAAGGACAGAAGAAGATGGAGAGAAAGTGAAGAGAATGGAGAAAAGAGCAATAAATTAGAGTCTAAGTCGAGCCAACGGACAATTTTCTTCTTGTTAACGTTCCCTTAAACCGGTCTGGGGCGAAAGAAGTTAATTTAACGGATACGGACCTGGAATCAGCCGCTAGGACTTAGTTACTCCCTTCTCTTTCTCTCACGCATATACCATGTGTTTTATCTCCCTCTATCACATACCTAACCATCCGTCGTGACGGGATTATCGGGTTACCTAATCCTAGGGGGTGATACGATACTTGTATGTATTACGTTTGATACAACACTTTCATCTGGAACGTCCTGATGTGGTTTGGAGAATTTCTAATGAATTCTGGAGAACACTCATTCAATTGTTAATATAGGTATAAGATTGAAGGGACAGGAAACTGGTGGTCTGAATGATATCTGATAGTAATTTAAAAAATTATTATTTTTGTTTCTTATTCGTGTTTGGAAATTCGTGTTAGAGGGAGAGATATTCAAACAATATTTTACCTGTGATATAGCAGTCAACCCTAGCCTAGAATGATTCAAAAGTACTTACAAGCGACTTTCACTCAGCCCGCTGGATGAAGTTAACTTATTAATGAATCTAATCAACGTTACGGAAACTTCTACCGGAATTTCAGCTCTCAAATGTGTTTCACGCAGTTGAAGCGAAACCTCGAGAATTCGATATTCAATGAATCATGGGCTACATAACAATGTACTTACGGAAGATTTATATCAGGTGATATAGCTAAAAGTATCTGCAATAATTTTATTTTCTTCACTCTCTTGGAGTGTTCCTACTGTTGGACCACTCGGTATATATAAATGTATGGGTAAAATTGTCTAGCATGTATAGTATAGCCTAGTGACTATGTACAAATATATACCGGATGATCCAACTCAGAGTATTTACACCAGTTAGTTGCGTTACATACGGCGACTACTTTTAGTTGAATTACTTGATATAATAGTGTATGTATAATGAACAATATATGAAATTAATTTTTATCTTACCTCGTTACGTTAATCTGATCTATGATCTCAACAGTTCCTAGATTTCTGTATCCCGCGAAGAGCATGTTGTTGCCTTTTAACCCTGAACCACGGCCATCGATAGCAGCATATATAATGCTTTTATTGGTCACCAGATATGTACCCCAATCCATGTTAAATTTCTCCGTTACTTGGTACGAATCTGGACCACCATATCTGTACGGAAAAAAACAGTGTTAAGTTTATTTTTGAAACGGTTCTATGCGAGAGCAAATCCTTCATAATGGATATCTAATATACCAACAATCTTTTAGTCAGCGTTAAATCACGCGGTAATGTTTCACAGTTCAGTATTATAGTATTTATCGAAATGAAAGTGGAACACTGTCCTACAGGATAAAAGGACAGAGTAAACGATACTGTAGATAGGCCAGCCATTTAGCTAAGGTCAACAGTAACTACTTTGGGCTACTGATTTATCAATACTTGCATAGTAGTAATGGAGCTGGTAATACTAGTTTTGAAAGCAGTAAGGTTGGTAGTAATAATATAGTGTTACATCCGACTAATAAATATATGCGTTGTTATTGGATAAGCTCAGGAACCTGTGTTTTTACTACGCTATGTCAATGTTATCATTTAATATGAAAAACAAGGTACTAGTGTCATTTTGTGACGAATAGAAAAATAACGGGTAGATTGACTTTTAAATATTTTAATTAAAAACGAATATCGGGTACAGGGTTTTTCGTGTAAATAATTAAATTTCACGATATAAATAATTGGCTGTCTCTGCTATTTGCGTTCAGCTTTAAAAAATGCAATCGCTCTGCATTTACATAAAGCTCCTAGTTTTTAATGGTTATGCATTCACGTGGAAAGTCATTTGGGTCACAGTCCGTCCTCGAATTCAATGTGTTTTTCTTCGACAGTTCGTAAATAATTAAATTTTTAGCAAATTACACGTGGCTCTGCATACAATTTTTTATTGAAAGTACCCCTGCAAAAAAGAATGGCTTGCAATAATCTTGTTTATCAGTTGAAAAACCCTTAAAACTGTAAAAGAAAATTTTTCATATATCTTCTAATAAGCTTTCGAACACTTGCTGTTAAAAGCAAGCATTACGCAGCCTTGGTAATAGCTTGGCGATTACCTTCGTAAACACTTGTTCTTAAACCTTGGCTAAACCTTGGTTGTATCCTTGACAAAGACTTAAAGAGTTTTTAACTCTTGCTTTTGCTTTTGTGTTACCTTGACGAACACTTGGTCCTAACACTTGGCTACTTCTTTTTTTTTCATAATAGTTTATAGTTACTGGTACTAATTTTGCCTTTATTATTTACATTTCTCGGTTTTTACGCAAATCCATTCTTCAGGCCTTGCTTATTCCTTGATAATAACCATTCAGCAATATTCAGTTCATTAAAAATTTGCATTTATTTAAAAAAAAATCCATCCCTAGTAGTCAATCGCGTAGCGAATAGTGTGCATGCGTGTTAGATGTATGGTCCCTGGTTCGAACCTCCGTCGAGTCAGATAGGAAAATATATTTTGAAGGCAGAATTAAGGTACCGATGTCAGTAAAGTTAGATGGATAATAAATGAATTCCCGAGCAAAATATATACATTTTTTAAATTAATAGTTCGGTCAATTACGTTGCGATTGACTTCACGAATTATTTTTCTCAGTATGAACATACTCTGAACGCCAATCTTTTATCTGTGTAAAATTTACATCGTGATGACCCAATAACATATTATGTTTAATATATATGAATATTTTCATCCATACAATATAAAGTGCTATCCCTACATGAAATGTAGAGATATACTACTGGTTCGCATTTTTACATTAACCAGTCAAATTAATTTTTTTTTGTAATTGTATTGTGATTTGCAAGATAACATTTTTTACTAGGATATGCACGTGCATGATTTTAATATACATTTTATTTTTCTATTTTAGTATTTATTTATGTGATTTTCTGCAAAGCCTACACGTGGCTTGAGTTATTTGCCATCTGTCAAAAAAAAAAGACATAGAACTCCTGGACTGGATGTGTAGTACTTGACGTTCACGTTATTAAATATAATATATAATATTAATATAAAAACTCTATAATTATATATTAATGTCATTAAGCCTTTATGCAAGGTATAACCAGTACTTATATACTACAAAGTAATGTAACGTCATTATTGCTTTTCTTTTACAGTACAGGTACGCGTTAAATGAATTTTCAAAGATCACATAGACAAATTTTCCCAAAAAAGATTTGCCGAGTTTGCTTGGATTATTCAGAACAGATTTCGTCGCATGTCGCGCAAAGTGGGTTAGCACTTTTAGACACGAAAACATTTAATCACCGGTAATATAATGCTCAAATAAAAAAAACTTGGATCGAAAAAAAATAATTTTGGGGTAATAAGAAGTATCTAGACATTTGATGAAACGATAAATGAAATTGAGGCTGTATATATGTCTGTTTTAAATGAAGTCAAACCGCCACCTTTTTATTCCCTTTGAAATATAATTTCGCCTTTCTTATATTTGCTACATTTAATTCTTCATTTTATTTCTTTAAAAATCATTCCAAATTGCATACAGAGTATATTAGCTAAGATGCACGTTTGCAGTTTCGGTGGAACAATGCATAATTTTGAAAAACTGATGTCACGACCATTGAATATTTTTTTAATGCGCATCGATTGCCCGTATTATTATTGTTCGTATGAACTTTTTTTCATCTCTGTTCTTTTTTCTTGCTCTATGACTTTTGCATTTAACTTTTTTCGATATCATTTGAAATAGCAAAGATAATTTTTTTGTTTGCGAATAGAAATTAAACAAACAATGATATGCGCAATCGACGTACAATCAAAAAATATTCACTCTGATGCACTCCGTATAAGTTTTTCATATATCTAAAGTAAAATTTTGCCGTCACTCATGTTGACAATATTTGTCCTTTTATATAATTCCTTCTTCGGGGTTCTTCCTTCTTCTTCTTCCTTCTTCACGGGATGATAATGTGCCAACTTTTTTATCTCATGATCTGCTTGTTTCTGCTTTTAACACACCTTCGTACAGACATGTGTCCCTTCTTTCATCTTATACTATGGTGGTTCCCTTTCCCTCTGTCCCTCCTGGCACTCTTTACACTCTTAAAAGTTGGGGCAGACTTGCCACCTACAAATTAGGGACGTTATTAGGATTTACGCCGGAAGTTGGCCGGGGGCCGAGAGTTGGCGAGACGTAAATTTACGGAAACGCCAAAAACACGGAAACATGCTTGCATTCGCTGTGCATATATAATGGTGTTTTATATGTATATGACGTATCTCGGTACTTAAGGAAAAGGTAGTCGACGAATAAAGGTTCGACTGTTGACATTAGCTGTACCTACTATCTATAGACAGGCATAGAGGGTCGGTCAAGTTGTCTTGAAAAGAGGGCAGATTCGTAAGGTGAAACAGTATGATGAAACTGATGATGGAGTAGAAGATGGTGGGAAGATGTCGAATAAAATTGCTAAAGTACATTCCGTCATTTATTATTAAAGACGGAACGCACTTACGCCCCATAAATAATGCACGGAAGCATCATGTATGTACATATGCACCATGGAAACGTCTTTCGTGCATGCATGCCTGCATGTATAATATCTACAATAACTTACGACGCGACTCCGTTAAAGTTAGCCGACGGTAACGTGCCATTTTTCCTCGTTAATTTTCAAGTTTGCCTGCGACACGAAATGCCTATGAAGTTGTGAGAGGTGCGGGAGGAGCCTTGAAAAAGTTTTACGGTACGGTGTCAACGCTGCGACATATTTTCTCCTTATTTATATTTTACGAAACACTTTTGAAGAACCCTTGTGGTATAATTAAAGAGAAATGTTGGATAAAAATATTGAGAAGACTTTCTTTTCTTTGTGTTAAATCTTCATCTTTTCTACTACTTCTAACGTCTGGATCTTTCATCTATTGTTATCTAACTATAGCTTTATTTTATTGTACCGAAGAGTGCACGTTTATTGGTTCTTAGATGAAGTGTATATTTATATATACATATATATATATTTTTATTCTATTCTTACGGTGATATATTCTTATTGATTGCACCATATGTATGCTTCCTTTTTTCTTTATTCTGAAAATTTAATTCAAATGTGATCTGTCCGTTGACTTGTGTTTATTTCATATTCCGAGTGGCAGAGGTAATTTTGTGATATTATGCGGATAAAATTTTATTTTTTTATTTTTTTACAAGTTCCTGTGAACCAAGAGAAACTTTATCGCTCCGGTAAATAAAGCTTGAGAGCGAATCGTATTAAACAGTTTAGCTGACTCGAATGACAGTGAGATACGAAATGCAATTTATTTTCTATCTTTGAGTCTGAGATATCTCACGTAATAGATCATTTAAATCGAACCTAATTACACATTTTAGAATTTATTTTATTGCTCCTATAATTTTGCTTAACCATTTCCGAGTCAATGACGCATTAGTGCATACATTTTTGTTATACCTCAGTAGACAAATAATGCAATAGTGATGAAATTATGTGTTCCGGGGTTTTTGATTCGTTGAATTAGAATCCGAATCTCAAAATTCAAATTTATAATCAGTAACTAAAAAAAAAAATCAAGAAACTGTGTATTATAAAAAATTTCATCTAAAAGATAATATGAAATAATCACATATTACATATATCATACAGAAGGAATTTTTAAAATTTATTTAGTACGTGATTCAATATTTTCAGAATAATTGTTGTATGGTCCAAGGTGCGCATGCCTGTATTTATAAGTATTTTAAATACGACGAAACGAATATTTTTATTATTTAGGCGTAAAAAATAAAGTATTAAAATTTTGTATACAAAGAATACTCGTATAATCATAATTGACTGCTTGAATGTTTAATAGATGATAATATTTGTCTTCATTCTGCATAAATATATGTATATATATTCACCCCAATAATGACACGAAGAACGAAGAGATAAGGAAAATTATTCATAAGTTTTTTTCTCACTAAGATAAATTCATCTTGCCTCCATTATACATATAATGCCCATTAAACTGCCCTCAATATTCTCTTTGAGTTGCCAGTCAGCAGCTTCTTGCCCGCCACGATCCACCCTATTGATACAGATCGGAAACTGGGGAGAACCCACCCGGAAGTACTTTAAGCGTAGGGGATTAATCGTTACAACCCCTTGTGCAATAGCGGCAAAAAATATCGCTGCTCTTAGCAAGAATATTGGAATTCATACACGAGAATGTATATATATATACGTATACTCAAACTACGATGTATCTCTATAGTGGGATATGCAGCTTCGAACTAATTTTAACATTTAACTATCAAAGTATGAATTTTATTATAGAAACTTGATGTATGATTATACCTAGTTATGTTAGCGTTCATCTTACAAATTTTGAACACAATAGTTACCACTCATAACATTTAATTAGTAATAAAATTACAAACTTATCACACGGATATATTTAATTTTATTACATTAATAGAAATTCCAGTCACGAATGAACAGTCTTCGTTTAATCGTAAGTGTCTCTACTGTGACTTTGCAAATGACGTCACGAAACTATTTTCTAGTCAAGATCACGCTTCCTACAGTTTCCTCCATTTAAACTGGACTTCATTTTGTAAGACCATTGCACTTATACATATGTCGTACGCAAACCAAAGTTCTTGCTGGATACTCGCGTAAGGGACGCGGATGAACAATAAGGACATCCAGACGTCGTCCGTCGACACTCAGGAAAAAGGCGACTCGAACCCTCAGTGAAATTGGTTTAGTAACGTATATTTACGTCGACAGGGAGTCCGAGGAAATCTCACAATGCTGATAACGTATGGTAGATTTTGCGACTGAGTTATCTCTCGTGCACTATTCTCATCGCTTTAGGATTAGGACCACGTTCTCTTGTCTATGTGTTCTCGTTCAAGTACTAAAGCTAACGTTCTTATCGTCAATAGTATTTTCGTAATACTATCAAGTCGTGATTTGTCGCCCAGACCTTGTTTTCTAGGGTCGGACACTTCACTGCGAAGTAAAAGGATATCGGATCGTTATGTTATAACGCGACCTTTTTCTCCCGCAATGAACTCCTCGATAAAGCGTCATATTTTTCGTAAGAGGATTTTCTGTTTTTATTGCTTTCGTTTTGTTAGAGAATAAGAATGAAAAAATTGACTTAAATTATGTTACGTCATCGGTCTTGTAAAATTTTGAATTTAAAATCAAACTATCTTTGTACTTTTGTACCAAAAATTTTGTATGTGATTAACAAATTAACGGTTGCGTTAGGTTGTGAGAGTACTACTACACGGAGAGAATTTCTCGTTAATTTTTCCTATGAAATTCACGATAAAATTTACCGTATAAACCAGCAACCGTAGGACATCGTTACCATTTCATTACTTATAGCTTATAACATACGATATTTTTAATGGTTACAAGTAAATTTTACAGTGCACACGGTAAATATTGTTACTTGTAATTTTTACTGCGTTTCACAATGTCAATGTTTCTTGTGGTTGGCTTCTAAGGTATGAAAAGTACAGTGCACTCCACGGTAAAATTGAATGTAGCACATGAGATAATTCGGATATTCCAGACGACTTCTTAAATTTAACAAGGTAAAAGCTATACTCTTACTCTAAATATTTTCAAATTTGAAAAATTTTACTGTACACTTCAGTAAAAGCTGACCTATCATACTCACATTTTAGTATATTTTCGTGAATTGTTCTTAAATATATAGGTAATATTTTATTACATGCCATGATGTTCCATGATTACCTTGAGTATCACGGTAATTTTTAATGAAAAATTCTCTCCATGTACTACTACTTTATACAGGGTGTATCTTAAGCCCCGGACAAGAGACATACCTTTAGATCCGGCGTGAAAAAATAAATATATTGGCGTTAACAAAAATCAAAAATTTTAATTAGTTTATTAATTATTACGGATTAAAGTAAGCCAATAATAAGCGCGTGAGAACTGGCAACTCCTCCTCAGTCTCCTCCCATTGGGGACAGCCAATCATTTATTTCCCCACAAAAAACATTTTACACTATTCGTTTGTTTATTTGCGTTACTCTTTTGTTTATTTACGTTACTATATTTACGTATCCACCGGTCACTGTTTTTGTGGAGAAATAAATGATTGGCTGTCCCCAGTGGGAGGAGACTGAGGAGGAGTTGCCAGTTCTCACGCGCTTATGATTGGCTTACTTTAATCCGTAATAATTAATAAACTAATTAAAATTTTTGATTTTTGTTAACGCCAATATATTTATTTTTTCACGCCGGATCTAAAGGTATGTCTCTTGTCCGGGGCTTAAGATACACCCTGTATAAAGTAGTAGTACATGGAGAGAATTTTTCATTAAAAATTACCGTGATACTCAAGGTAATCATGGAACATCATGGCATGTAATAAAATATTACCTATATATTTAAGAACAATTCACGAAAATATACTAAAATGTGAGTATGATAGGTCAGCGAATTGGAAAATTGGAAATTTTACCGGATCTAACGGTATGTCTCTTGCCCGGGGCTTAAGACACACCCTGTATATTGTAGTACGTGGTTACCCTAATGTTTCCGGTATCGGGGTACTTTCGAAATTCATAATTCGTCTCATTACCAGCTAAACTATCAGTACTTATAGTTTGTGTTTGATTTTCGTTACGCAATTGTATTTTGAAAAAAATTTGAAACATTTTTTGTTTTTTCTTTAATTTGAATTTTTGCCCATTGTGGGAGCCCAGGTGGGTTCACGAGGAAAAGAGAATTGCAACGGCACACCGCTTTATCTTTTAAGATTGCGAATTCTAAGTTTTCAAAGGATTGATGTCTGACATTTTTAAGAAAATCAGAAGATCCGATATACTAAAAAAAATTTATTCTAAATTTATTCTTGAGAATTTGAAATTTTGATTTGAATTTAAAAATTATAAGAAACATGTACATGGCAAGAGTTTCCAATTTTTTAAAAGAATTTCATAGAATATTGGTATAGGATATCAGAATAGTCATTTCTTAAGTTCAATTTTAATTGAATTGAATTGAATTAATTAATCAAAAGTTTGATTTAATCAATTGTAAAATTATACCTTATAATTTTCAACATAATATTGCACGTTTTTGTCATGGTAACGGCATAATATGTATTGCGTAATATAATTATCAAATAGAAAATTGAACTCATCAACCTCCACGATATCAGTACAGTATCTTACACAATTCTTATGGCGATTTTGTAACGTGACTCGAAGGATTCAGTGTTACTATATATGTATACATACATATATAACGACATTAAAAAGAAAAAAATGTAAATTTCTCTCGTTTTCCACTAGTCTATTTTTTTGGGGGAAATTGATAATGATAAAGTCAAATGACATACTTACACATATACTAGCATCGGATATTTGGTACTGCCACTTAGATCTGCATTAGGTGGCAGCAGCAGCCGCACCTGTGCCTCGAAACCATCCATGACGGAAACCGTGTATCGCTGGACTTTAGGTAGAGACTTTCCGCTCACTAGGTTGGCAACATCGTGATTGTTCTCCCAGGTGAACAATTTCGTTGAATTCTGCAAAATGGAACATAAAGTTAATATCCATTAAACTTATTCCTCTACTATCGTGACCGCCATAACTGATCCTGAGGCAGCTATTGGTAAGACTTATGAAACGGAAGACTATGTTAACGCTATATACGGGGCTTTATTATTGATTCTCTGTTTTTATCCTTCTTCACTTTAGAAATCAGAACGGGTTTAGTGTCGAGTCGAAAAGATCGTAAACTTTCTACAGATAAAGGAGCTTACTCGCGGAATAACCTAGATGGTCATTGGATTCTCGAAAATTCCCTAGATTTATTGGGATACATTTCGTCCAGAGTATATTTCCTAACAAAATATTACATAAAATATATCTCAGTTTAATTATAATAATAATATCAAGCAATAACAGTATTTTATCCATAAAACTGATTAAAATTTTTAATATAGACCTGGATTTCTGGGTCATTATGCATTTTTGTGACACATATCGAAACTGTCCAAATATTTCATAGCTGGCAGGTATTACTAGATTTTGGCGCGAAAACAAGTTGGAAATTCACTCTCCAACGCGACATCTTCAGGTGGTCTATTTGGAACCGTGACGTAAGGTATATCAGGCTTAGACTTTCAGAAAAATTGTTTTCTGTAAGAGGATATTATGATTATTGTATTGTTTTTTCGTATCACAAATTTTCACCCAGGAGCGCCAAACATATCCTGTGCAAATAGCAGTAATGATTTTCGGGTCAGAGGTCTACATCTGCGCAGACATCTGAATTTAATGCGACACGTTTTTCTCATGTAACACCTGTTACATTCGGGCCGTTGCCAACCTTCTAGGTATACATCAACATGTATAAACATTACGGGCAACAGTCGAGTAACCGGGATTTAGCCAGAAATCGGCTTGCAAATTTTAAATCCTCGTCTGGCTTTACTCATATGATACACAATGATACAAATATGTAATCAAAGGGAGTACAAAAATCCTAGGAAGGCTGGTCCTCGGTTAGAGAACACTAAAAGTAAACTAGTTTAAAAGTCCATATAACTAGCCTTGGGTATATCTATATGTATATGTATGTATAATATTATGTATGAATACAATAGTACACGGAGAGAATTTTTAATTAAAAATTACCGTGATACTCAAGGTAATCACGGGAGAACATGGCATTTCATAACATTTTTCCTATATAATTAAGAACAATTCACGAAAACATACATTACATAAGTGTACAGTAAAATATTTCAAACTTGAACATACATCTGTAGTTTAAAAGTATAGCTTTTATCTCGTTGAATTAAAAAAATCATCTAAAACAGCCGATTTATCTCGTGCGCTGCATTCAATCTTACTGTAGAGTGCACTGTACTTTTCATACTTTTGAAGTCAACCATAAAAGACGCATTGTGAAACGCAGTAAAAATTGCAAGTAACAATATTTACTGTGTGCACTGTAACATTTATTTTTAGCCACTCAAAGTATCGTATGTTATAAGCAATAAGTAATAAAATGGTAAAGATGTCCCAGAGTTACTGATTCTTACGGTAAATTTTATCGTGAATTTCAAAAGAAATATTAACGAAAAATTCTCTTCGTGTACGTATACGTTTATAAATAGTTCAGCACAAAATACTGTACTGGCGTCATCTAAAACAATGGCTAATTTTTGCAATTTCCCCAAATTACTGATCTATATTTATTACAATTAAAAAATTAGTAGTATGTAATAATGTTGAGATTGAATTGCAACTATTAGTGATGACAAATATAATTCCTGTATTCCAGTTCTAAATTATTAGAGCTTTTAACTTGTACAATTGAATAACGAAAACAAGCAGGAAGGAGCTTTCTGGACCATACTGCTTTCTTTGATTATAACGATCCAAGTTTGTCTCATCTTTGCATAAAGCTGCAAGCTGCTCACTACTACCAATGTATACTCTGGTATGTGACAAAGGCGAAATTATCGTCGATAGAACAAAGGATACTGGAATATCCTATAGGAGTAACTAGACACACATGTATATGCATGTATGGGAAAAAGGTTCTGGGGGATTTTCAAAATTAAAGTTAATTGGGAGGATAATGAATTTTAACTAATTTCATTTTGACATGGAATATTATACATAGGCACGTATAATGGGTTATAGACCTTTACATATGTATATGCATTATCCTTGCTATTTCGGTCCTTCCAGGTGGGTAATTAATAATCGCGATCAATTAATTATCCTCGATAAACTATCGCCTCGGGTTTCGACCGACTACAGCAAATTTCCAAACCCCCATCTCTCTCCATTTCATCTCTGTTGCTCTTAGTCTCTCTCTCTCTCCCTACCCCTCCCTTTGTATCATATATGTATCTTTATTAATTCATTCATTCACTCACTCACTCTCCTACGAATGGACTCGTTTAGCACAAATGCAGAAGCTTCACAGTAACCATCAAAGTGCATAATAATGATAAAGCTAATTCGAGGTGGATTTCCTATGACACAGCAAAATTCATGCTGATCCCTATTTTCTCTTTAGCTGATAAATTCATTTAATCTTATTCTCCGTGTAAAGTGACTATAATACCCCACAGTGCGAATGTGACTTAAGTATACATTTATTAAATAGCAAAGTATCAATAATTTTAATAGTATGTAGAATTAAAAAAAATAATTTTTAATCATAAAATTTCTCAGTAGAAATTTCAAGATTTTTTTGCATTATCCCACAATTTGGATTCTAGAAGAAAGTTACGTGGTTCTTATTCGAACTCTTGCCAACTCGGTTTCCGGCAATGGACGTCTTTCTCAGCGAAGAAGGTCAGAGTTCGAGGATAGTTAAATCTTCCACTAGCACCAAACCTAACCTCATTCGTGGAAAGACCAGTTTCCTCCGGAACTAATTACCGGCACTAACCACCTGTGCCAAAGTAGGCGATAAAGAATAAGTGAAGCCATCGCCGGGGAGGATTTCCGGCATGGAAACTGTGCCATTTGCAAAACTTCCGGGAACATCTCAACTTTCCCGCGAGAATTGAAATCCTCGTATCTCTCACAATTTCATTTGTACGATAAACATCCTACTGTTGTTTGTATGAATTTTGCGAGAGGAATGACATTGATAAGGAAGTAACGCGTATGTAAAAAAAAAAGACGATCATCAAAAAATAAAAACGACACTGCAGACTATTATTTTGTAGACGAAAAGAATAAGAAAAAAATTTCGGAGAAAATGCATTCCCAAAAATAATTCATCATGCGCGACAAGCGTTACGATTCTTTTTTTCCCCTTTGTTTTTAATCGAGAAGTAATTACAGCGATAAAGTGACGAGGGTGAAAATATTGAGAAATTTAAATCGCGCACTAAAGGCGGCGCTGGCGTAGTCATAGAGGTTGGTACAAAAGGGGTGGAAAAGTTTACCTATTCAGTGGGAGAATTGGGTCGCTCACTGCGAAGGAGTTGGCGACGAAAGGAGGATCGTTCCGGAAGTATCGTTCGTTCATTTTTCAATGGCGGTTCTTTCAAAACTTTTTCTTCTTTATCATCGCCTCTCCTTTTCTTTCATATCCTCGTTCATTCTTATCTTTCGGAACAATCGTGTCTCATCGAGACACAATGTCCTGCGGGTTTGCCGATTGGAAAGTCTTTTTTTTTAAATTAAGCTTTCATTTTCAATCCACTTTTAATCTCTTTTCCGTAGTAATTATCTCTTGCACGTGGAATATGGCTATCTAGTTTTTTTAGCAATTTCATTTGTTGCTGTTTATCTTGAGTAATTAAAATAGTTAACTTACCCTATTGTATATCGATATATCCGGTACACCGGGTCCTGAACATGTCAGGATGTAGTAGGAATTGTCGGTAGAGAATTTGGCGGAATTATACAAGCAGTAGGTGTCGTCAGTGTTACTCTTGATATTGCAACTTAGACATTCAGATGTGTAGTTCGAATCCAAAGTAGACACTCTGTATAAGTGTTGCACGGCTGGATCGTCCTTGGTGGTAGCAAGATAATAGCTGAAACATTCGATGTAGGTATGCAGGTCATTAAAAAACATCGAATAAGAGATAATAATAAATATGAATAAAAAAGAAAAAAGGTAAAATAAAAGAATAAAAAGATTTGTAATTCACATTCATTCGACCAAGTATCTGCTATACCTAGTATAAAAGTGTCCCTTTTTCAAATGTGACATTTGATCTTCCATTTCGCCCTAAGCTATTAACCGTTTCAATTAAGTGACTCGTTGAAAAAAATATATTTATGTAACGCATGCATGAAAAACACTACTTTTCGTGCCTCCGAAGTGTGGCGAAAGTAGCGCTTTATATCTATGAATACGATAAAAATGCTGCGCATGCGCAAATCAGCCCAATTTTATATTATCGCACTAGTGCTTTCTTCTCGCACTAGTGCGATAAAGTAAACTTTGTTCTCGCGCGCTGTCATGAAATGCATTCACTTTGAAGCCTTCCTTGCTCTTCTTATGGCTGCCTCCTCTAACGAGGAGATGTTCCAGTCACTTTGGAGGCACAAAAAGTAGCGTTTTTCATGCATTCGTTACAGAAAATATTATGCGATAATGGTACAATAAAGCGAACATTATACGCAGTTCATGAAGTTTGTCACACTCGCCGCACTCGTAAAACAAACAGCACTTGCCTTCGGCTCGTGCCGTTGTGTTACTCGTGTGCGGCTGTGCGACCAACTTCACCGCCTGCCTATAAAGTTCGCTTTCTCGCACTTGTATCGCAAAGTACTATTATTTCACTGTTCGCTGACGTCCTTTCAAGATAATTTCACGGTATCGGTATCTGCTTTCGCATATTGTATGGCTTTCAAAAATTGTACTGGATATTAATTTTTTTTCTTTTAATATTATTTTTTTAGTTTGTTGATTTCGAAACATAAAATACAGGTTTTATGTTTTTGAGAGAATTTTGAAGAGCTAGTAAGAAATTAAAGAGGATTAATAAAAACATCCTGGATTTTTGGGGATAGCTACCTGTGATAGTTGCACTGGTTTCGCCTACACTGTAAATAAATAAATATCATCCAGCTGTTTCAATTAATTCCCTAGGGACTGTGACCGGTTGCTAAACTGCAGGAGTTATTGCACCGAAACGACCAGGCTAGCGTAATGTGTATATATGTATATCGTTCTGATCTATCACGTGTTCTGGTTTCTACTTGCGAAAGTTGAAAATAAACAAATACATGCCAAAAGCTGATGTATATAGAAACGTGAATTTGTATTTTCATACTTTTTTGAAATTCGTTCAACTTTTCTTGTTACGTTAACAGATTTTTAAAAAATTTTCAATTTCGTGAAATTGCACGTCAGCTATTTCAAAGAATGTTTATAAGATTGTCATATCCAGAGCGTAGACTCCATATCTCTTTACCGTTATACATATGCGACACATTCAAACTCACAGTTATTTACCCCTGATTAGAAAGAAACAGTGCCAAATTTCTAACACACATCAAAATCATCTGTTGCGAAGCTTTTAATTAGAGAAACGAAGACTTTTTCTTTTTATTACAGTTTTCAAACATTTTCCAAAGTTCCCCCAGCATACCTCTTTCGTCGCTGTTCATATGTTACTCCTTCTCTTCAAACCTCGAAATCTATTTCCATTCGTTCAATGACTTTCGTGAGGTTTTCGTGATTTTCCTATCTGTCAATGTTGCGTAATACTCGCACAATAAAGTACGTGCAAAAATTGCAAACTAATTCTCTGCATGGTCGAGCTATTTTCGAGGGAAATACGGATCATTATGAGCGGCTAACAACAAATACTGCTATTCTACAATAGGGCGATAGTAGCAAAACTTAGCAGCTCATAAAGTAACTTCAACGTATTCCTATGAAAATAGCAGCAACAATACAGAATAGTATTAGCAGTCCATTATACCTAAAACATATTCTAAGAACTGTAATAAGGTACGATCCATAGGATACAATTACTAGGCTGTATTAGAATTTACTTACTACGTATTAGTAATAGTAGCATGGTACGCTTGAAGCAAAAATATCGACAAAGTATATTCGTATTCGTGAACATACCGATTGATAACACATGTTAATATTCATGGTACATTTAAAGTACATGGATAGATTTTTAAATTTGTTTTCGAGCTTTTAAGTATAGTATGTTATTCATTGAAGTTTCAATGATTACGAAATAAATATATACGTTCATATATTGTAACGTTTGTCAATACTGCAATTTCGTACGCTCCTTATGGATGTACGAAATGGGATGTAGGTAAGTGCTCGGAGCTGGCGTCTTTAAGAACTTAGGCGACACAGAATTAAATGGTAAAATAAAATAACAAAAATTATTAAATTATCTGTGCCAGGTACAACAGCTTTCGATGTGCGTCAATTACAATCGCCGAATATAAACGTCGGTATTGTAGGAAAGGATTGTCAGGGGAGTGTCCTATATTTGTTTGTCTATTCCAATCTCTCTCTGATCTGGCTTTGAGGAACACAGGATGCACCTGTGTTAGTACGGTACCCCTAGTGGCGCTCTGCCTATCTATTGGCTATGGCACTCCGTAGGAATTGACTAATCACGGCGAGGATAATAGATCGAAATCAATATGGCGTCAACTGAAGTTTATGAGGTAGATCGCAGTGCGCCCCTTAGAACTTTGACAATATTTTTCTATACGGCGGGCTCGGCGGAATAGCGAATGCTAGTATGCCGTAGCCTCCGACAAAATTATTGACAATGATTTTATTCAATTACTATAGTCTATCCCAGAGGGCATAAATCGAGCTCAAACACTTTATTACGATTTTAATATGCGTCATCCTTTCGGATTTAAATCACTCTCACTTTATTATTACTCACGTTTACTGTACAGATCTAATGTTGTAGATTTCGAATATTGAATTTGATTGGAAATCCATTATTTAACTAATTAAAATGCTAGATTGGTTAGCGAGAAGCGCTAATCCTCTATCGGATTTTATTTCTATTATTTTCCGTGGATTAACTTTCGGGAGCTGTTTTTCATCTATCGGCTATTGTTGACACTAACTGCGTGTCCTTATTGTTTGTTTGTAACGACTGCGCTCTCAGTACATGAGTACTGAGAGGTTCATCGATTTGTCACGTTACAATATGAATACACATATTTGTAGATTTAATGGTTTTTTGGATTTGGTATAGACTGTAATGCGTTTGGTGCGTTCAGTGTATTTATGAGCGATATATGAGATCCAGATGACTCTTTTACTTTGAAACTCATACCGAGATGGGCCCTCTGAAAATCCTATTGCGTGTGGACATGCTGTATGGATATGCATCTATTTTAATTGGTTGATCTAATATATAAATTGGTATAGACTATTTATAATAATAAAGATAATAGGTAAGTGAATAGTTACATTTTCTCGAATGGGCACTTCCTAAATTTGCGAGCGACGAACAATCTAAATGAAGCTTAAGACTACGGTGTCGCTAACTTGCGTTATTTTTGAAAAACGAAAAGTTGAGTCCGCTATCTTATCCTGCGCTCTCAACGGGGGAAGTTTAAAATTGAAACTGGAAACTTGCTTAATTATATTGTCTGGTGTATAGCATAAAGATACGTAACGTTACAGTGTTAGGATCGGTATCAGTTTCTTCTATACTTTGAACTAAAGATTTTAACCTGGACGCGTAGAATTTAATTCCTAGAAGAACACAGTATCGCTGCACAAATACTCTAATTTCTCAGAGTACAAAGCGAATTATCTATCGGATTTAAAACATTAAAATTTAAAAAATCTATTTAATGCTGTTTTTCAAATTTGGTACGTAACGACCACTGTCAAAACGTTCTAAATATTAGATTGACAGAATGAAATATTTATTAGACGTATATCGCTTCCAAATATCTATTGCACGTTTACTATACACATTTGCATTGGAAAATATATTTTTTCCCGATGTTCACATTACGTGTACGTGAATATTTGACGTATATATTAAATACTTTGAACATTGATGCTACGCGTATAGAAAGTTTCGTGAAAATAATGGCAAAATGAGTGATAAAAAGGAAAAAAAAGAAAATATATCTATTCAAAGTAAGACACAGGTGAATAACGGAGGATTCAGAAACGTCTTGGCATAGTTTTGTTATAGTACGTGGAGTAATATATAACTTGCTCATATAGAAAATGAGAAAAGGGCCTTAGGGTAGAAAATGGTTTCATAGGCCAAGGTGGGTGTCCTGGGTACAGTGTAATTCAATATCTTAGAAGATAATGGATTTCTAGGCTATATTTAGATAGAGTGCTCCGAGTCCCTGGTGGGCACATCCGAAAGTGAAGATTTTAAGGTAAAGTAACTGGAGCTAGGTTACCCTGTAGTTTTGTAGTTTTTTGAAAGTTTTTGGAGGGTACCTGAAGTCGTGAAGATGGTTTTACAAAGGAGACGGCCTCCAGGATATGAACTCTATAAACTGACAGTCTTTGAACCTAGGATCTACTGGAATATTATGATTTCGAGTGGATAGCTAATATTACTACTACTAACTACTACCACCACCATCTCTACTATACTTACTATTACCGTTACTCGAGATACTATTAATACTAATAGAAGGGGAATCATGTTAAGGATTTTCAGCAAGCCACGCAGCCAACAAGATGGATAGGAAAGCGTCGGCCATTCGGAATGGATTAATTGGAGCATCCTGTTAATTTACCCTGTCGCATCCATCTTGTCACTTGGCAGGACGCCGACTTATGCCCTTTTAACAGCCCTCCTCGAGTCTACGAGATGAAGTAAAACGATACACAAGCGAATCCCTTGACCTCAGAAAGGTAACAACCTGAATTTACTAATCAACCAACCCGTTTTGGAACACAAATTCCACTTTTGAAGATTCCTCCGAGAAGGGTTAGTTGTTACAGCCGTTTCCTTTTCGCATCAAGGTATACTGGGAGTCACGTGTTATACGTATACACGGAGCCGAGGTAAGCTAGGGATTCACTGAGTAGAGAAGCGCCACATTCAAAAGAGCTCCGCAAGGCCCTTCTATAGGGAAGGCGATTCAGAAGGGGTGTTAGTTGGATGCTCGGCAGACATGACTAAGTTACGTGTCTTATGAAAGCCGATGAAACTTTACCCAGGAGCAATCTCACGACTAGTACCATGTCATCTAGGCCATCTACTCTACTAAAACTGAGAGCGGGATGTACTATCCAGCCAGTATCCAGATCAGCTACCCTTATTGTAAGGCAACCACCCTTCTAGGAAGAAGGTGGACACCCTTCGCCTACACCCTGATGAGCTACACGACGAGCGATCGAGCTATGTAGGGACCAGTACGAACATCTTTTGTAATATCCTTCGAGTGGGTCGGTTGGGTCTATCCTAATGCGAAGTGCAATTTTCCGTGAATTCGCTCCATTACCAACTTTGTAAATTGAATGTTTATGGGATGCCCTGAGAGCTATTTTTTTACTTTTCTATTCTTTTTAAGCGTTATTCACGTCATTAGGATTAAATATATTATGAGGGTATAATAATCTCTACTTTTTTGGTTGATAGTACTGGACTGGTAGCTGTCTCAGAATATTGTTTAATCAACTAATTATCTCAAACTCTTCTATTAAAAAGTTAATGCAACTAGGACTCGGGAGGATCCGCGGTTAAATTTCTAACAGGCAGAAACAACAAGCTAATTAGGTTAGGGAGGTTTCTGTGGTTGGTTTGCTGTTGCGAACGAGTTCTCTGTTTTATTACTTTACGTTTTTTTGTGATACTTTCCGTTTCGATGGATTTGAGAATCAGCAATCAGTTACCTCGATGTTTTATTTTCTCAAATTGGTTAAGTTTACAGAGTGGTTTCATTTTATTTAGTTGAAAGAAGGATTCCACTATTAATAATTTTTTAAATGAGCGTGTCTCGTATTTCCTGTTTCGTATTCTCTTAGCTTTCGGACCAGTTTACTTATGTCTGCTAATTTAGTAATGATGTCAAAATGATAATTTTCCTACTCACACGTAGTTACTGTCTTCATCCCATGATATTATCTCGGTAACCACAAAAGTACCGGACGTTAGTGCTATCGTGCTGGGACTTCCGCTGGTAGCATTTGTTACCAGGACCAGGTGTCTCCAATCACCATCTTCCCCTTGACTTTGGGGTAAAATCAGCAAGAAGGCTGTACCATCCTTGCTGAAGTGTGGAGCGTCAAATTGTTCCACCCATCCATCCGATTCTACATAAGAAAGAGCCTGGGAAATATTGAAAAAAATGATTATTTTTTTAATTACAATAATATTTTAAAGAATACTCTATATATTTTCTACAGAGTGAGTCTATAAGAGCGTCGGAAAAATTTACAGGCGTATTTCGTACTATTAAATTAGGGGAAAAATCCAATAAACGTGGGTACGCAGACCCTTCGTTTTTTTAGATACAGCTACTTTTAGTTGTAACATAAATTATACACCGGGTATGTTCGAGCGCGTGGGACAGAGCTTCATATGGCATATCGACCCATGTTTGACTAGCAATCGAGACCACTTTAAATACCTGCTATGAAGTAATGGTAGAAATTCAACTTGCTGCTTCTTAATAAACAAAGAAGTTTGCGGTTCCATGTTTAATGGGACTATTTATTAAGTTTCAAGATACATAATATGCCTGTAAATTTTGCGACAGAATTTTAAAATCACCCAATTTGAATTTTATGAATGATTTCACACCAGATAAAGTATCCAAATGTAATCAACAAATATACATTTAGTTTCGTCTACTATTTTTCAATCTAGAACACTTCCGCTCGTACTTACACCCTTTTGTTATAGCATCTCTTCAGCTGAAGGTATCGTTAACCACCGAGCATCCAGATTTAAGGGTATAATAGTGACTACTGATTGGTTAACGACGCCCCTAGCTTAAGAGACGCTATAAGAGAGCGATATTAGCACAGGCGTTGGTATACTTAAAAGGAGTTTATTAGAGTGCTGTATGAGAGATATGGCAGTAGCACAAATACTTTGGCAAAATAACTAAAAGTAGAGGAAACTAAAAATGCGAAAATTTTCTTCGTTTTCGACATCGCCAAAATACGTGCATATAATATTAGGGTGTATAATTAATTCGACTATCAGGGGATTTTTTCACGTTGTATGCTGCAAGAAAATGATTCCTCAATGTGGAATTGATCTTTTGACGTGACCCTACGACTATGCGTGTATTGAAATATTGAAGAGCAATTTAAAAAAAAATGGTTTTGGTTTTTTTTTTTAAACTTACTGTGGTGCAATTTAAAGTAGAGACATTGCACAGATGAAAGTAGGCCTGATTTTGTACTCTGTTCATCCAGGTGGCAGAGACTATGTTGTCAGTTGGGAATGCCACAGCTGTCAGGATCCTCTCGACGGATGAAAGTTGACGGGGATATTCGATTTCCATCAGTGTGAAGTTGTCTCTAATAACGTCCTCTAAGTTCACGTAGTAGAGTTTCACGGTAGGATTGGTGGTACCACTCTGAAACACGAGATACAGATGGCATTGAACTCCTTTAGCTGGGTCTACGTAGCCATAAAGAAGGATATCAATGGATAAAGGGATAATAAAAAACATAAGAGAAAAAAGTGTGTAGGCTTTTCAGAGCCGTTTGTCTTCTAAAGAATGGATCCACGAGACATGAGGAAAAGGTGCTCCCTTAAAACCCTAAGGATATTCCCTGAAGACTATTCGGGTTATAGTCGAAAGGTATGGAATTGATACACGATACTTCGTGGGACACGCGAAATAATTCACGAGCCATTTTCAAATAAATTTTTTCCTTTGTAAAACAGCTTCTGAATACATCGGGACGCCTTTTAGATCGTAGCAGCACGTATATATTATTTGGTATGGGCGGTTCGATGTATCAAAAGCAATTTGCTGGGTACGGTATGGCCAACTGAAATGCGTATTTGCAGTATAGTTCTACCGCAAAAAATTTCTTTGACGTGTTCGCTGCGTGTATGCTTTTTTTTACAGGAAGCAGAAGGGGACACAGGGAACAGGGCCAAAAAAGGTGATGAAATCGCAAAAAAGTTGTATATTTTTTTATTCAACGTGCGCGACTTCGCTTTGAAAGCTCTTGAGTCTTTGCCTCGACGTGGTAGAAAAATCAGGATTACACGTGAGCAAAGTGTAACACTAAGCGAGCAGGAGGATTTAAGCTTTTGAAAAATTCCCTTAGTTTTATCTCACCATACCGTAATGGACGTGATGCTTCCTCAACCCTCTAACTAAATTTACCAAAGAGAACTAAATTATCTGACTATTTACCATTCTACAGTGCTGCTCCTGGAGGTAAGTTAAGTTTCTACTTTACCATCCGGAATATATTTTGTATGTACCCTTCCGCACCTGCTTTTTAGGCACGACCGCGGTACGCAAGTGCCTTATAGTTTCTATCGCGAAAAATGTGTGAGATGCGATACCTCACGCAATTTTAGGCCGATCGGGCTGAAATTTTGGGGGAGGTCTCCTCTCGTACAAACTAAAAAACTATTTTTTTTTATCCCGATCCTCTACGTCGTTTCAAAATGGGAGCACAATTTGATCGATTTTACGATTTTTTCGTGTATTATTTAATAAAAATTTTCATGTTACACGATTATCTCTGAGAGACTTCAGTCAATCGGGCTAAAATTTTTTGTGGTGACTCCTCTCATCACTAGAACCTTATGGTTCTATTTTGAGCTTCATCCTGTACATATAAGCAGAATGCGGTCACCTCCAAAAATCGCTAAAAACGGCTTTTTGCCTGTAACTCGAATTCTAAGCATTCTACAAAAAAAACGTTAAATGGAAAAGTTGCAGATCTTTCAAAAATACAACTTTTTCCTCTTGACATCAAATCATGAAAATGCTTACTACTCAAGTTAGCAGCCCAAAATCAAATTTTTACAACATTCATTTTTATTGAAGTTAAAGAATTTATCGGTTTAAATTGAATCTTTGTATTTGTATATATTCAATACATCATATAACTATGAAATATAAACGATTGTCCAATAATTAAGCACAATTGTAGAGAAATTTGGGCGAGCACGAAGCTCGAGCGTCGGTGGGCTGGTGAGTGCAAAGCGTGAACGTCAGCGGTCGTGCCTTACACGCTAAACGCGAAGCGTTTTGCGCGCCTTGCATCGCATCGCGGCCGGAAGGCCGCGTGTGGCGCGCTAGTGCAGAGATGGTTATAATCACGTGGTTCGGAGCCATCATGGTTGTGTAGTGAGTGACATACATTAATTTTTGTTTGTTTTGTAATATTGCCTATCCTTCAATTTTCTAATGCTTCGCGTATATGTAACATACGTTACAAAGGCTGATTCGCATTATGCGGGCAGAACAGCGCCGAACAGGGCACAGGGTAGACCCGTGTGTTTATATTAGACAAACTGTGTATAGTTGGTAATTAATCTATTTGTCACGTCAGACAGTTTGAGCAACGAAACTATATTAATTTTTGGTAAAATCTCTGCTTACCGACTGGATGAAATTTGTCGCTTACATATCACATTACGAAAAACTGTAATTAAACTTTACTATGTCAATTTGTCTTTTCTAACAATTTCAATAATCTTCGTAATTGAAAAGACAATTATTTCATGTTTACTTTATTTTCACAATTTATATAATCAATCTCAAATATCTAAGTGCTTTAGCAGTTTATAGATTTTACTACCCTATTCCACTTCGATACGAATCGGAAACGACATTCCCAGACGTTTCTCAATTGCAATTGAATCCGAAAGAAAGTGCTTGCCAGCGTAGTTACTTCCGTCAAAATCCATCGACCGGTACGAGCATCGTCGGATCGTTAGCTTTTACGAGACACCGTTTCGAAGACACTGAGCCGAAAAAGCCTATCGGGACTTTCGACCTTGGATAAATTTGGCGCCCTTATTTCTCTAGTGACGTAATCACGAGTCAAGAATACAAACTGTCCATTCTTGTCATTGAACAAGTGCAAATATACTTAAACAAAAATTGTAAACAAGAGAAATCGAATTTGGGTGCTCAAAAAATTATTTTTCACCCACATTAAGGGGGAATATTATAATACTATCTTTTAATTTTCTCAAGAAATTTTTTATCTATTCATCTTAATATGATCAACATCGTTAGCATTCACTATAGTCTTTAGTCTCAAGAATTTACTACTGTTGAATATAATAGAGGTACGTTATCTTGCACAATTCAGTTTGTCGTTATGTTTGTGATGTAGTTTCTTACGTAACGGTCTGGAGGAATTGTTAAAGGCGATATCGCACATGTCTTACGGTTCAAATAATCCTTTTGCAAAATCTCTTGCGAAAGGACACGTCGTTTCACGAAACTAGAAGTACGCAGTCACAACCATTGCTACACTACCAAAGAGCGCTGTTATATTATCGGTACTATTATTTTCACCACTACTACAGGCGTACCCATAGAAATAGCGATAGTAGCTCCACTATATACTCGCGATCTCCCGCATGACTTCCTACCAAGTTACTACACGGCTGTGGCAACTTTCCTCAAGGGATTTATCAACGGACCATTTACGCTTCAGCTATGTTTACGGGAAAACTTTGCCGTCGATACTCACGCGTGCCCGAGATCTTTATTACGTTTTTCGTACACCACGGATATAAAGGGGTAGTTGCACGAATACGCGTATCACTACGCATAGGTTACGTAACATATTCGTATAGGTATATTCACGAGAAACTTTGTTATCCACCTTATTCGTTTCTTATGGAATTTTCTCAGAGTATCCATCTATCACGTATATTCATAGAATCTCTAAAAATTATAATCGATTGAATTTCTTATTTTCACATTATTTCGAGGTAGCTCAATTATCAAAATTCGAATTTCGACTTTGTTGTTGGAGTATATTTTTATCTAAAATGTGACGATTCAAGATGAGTGTCAGAGTCTTGGAAAAGGTAAATGTAACTTCTTTAGCCTGCTTTGAAATTCATTTCGTTAATTTAATTAAATTGAGATGCGAAATAGTGACGAAGGAAAGGAAGGGGCAGGGGGGTTATTAAATTAATCGTGCGAATAATAAAGCAAATTAGTTAGGGAACTTTGTTGAGTTTCTGGATTTGTCCAATAATACATAAGTCATTACTAATCCCATTACTACGGTGACGTCACACGATAAATCATTGAGAATTTAGAATTGAAGGGTTAGAGAAGTTTGCCGTCGTTGAATGCGAGTGACATTAAGCACCCTTAAATGAGGTTAGGTGAAAAATATTCTTTCTCGAAAAGAATTATATAATGGATGATTCAGGCTGACAAGGTTAGGTAATCCTATTGATTAAGCATTGTGGGGTAAGAGACTGTAGCGAAGGGTTGACGGGGACCTTTTTTGACAGGTCTTTAGGGTCTGAAGATTGTATAAGGCAGTTTTATGTCTTTCGAATTTCAACTCTGAAGGTAGATAAAGGGTTAGGAAGGACAGTCGACGTTTCTTACTCAGGGGTCCACGTTGTGGAATCTGCAATTATAAACGTAAATTTGCACATTCTTTCTTCCTTCTTTTTTTTTTTACAATAAAGGGTATACCGCATCCTTGAATTCCCTTACCCATGGAAGTAGATCACAAGTCCTTTAGACAGCGCTCTAATTTTTAATAACGATATCTTTTTACTTTTTGTTTTGCTTTATTATGATTGGTTTATTTTTTACTCTGATAGCGGAGGAAGTCAAAAAAATTTAAAGACAATGAGATGGATAGGTCGATGACGTAAATAAACCGAAAGATGCGAGAATGTTAATTGCTTCATATGTATCATCGCAAATACGTGGATATGTTATAGATATAATGATATACATAATTGCAGGTAAATTAATCAACGAAAATTCTTCATATTTATATGATGAGAAATTTTAAATGAGAATGGGCGCACAGGATCAGCGAAAATCCACGTAAAGGCGTTTTTCAGCTTCTATGATGATCGAACGCGAGGGAATAGTAGTGACAGGAGATAGAGTAAGAGCGTAAGAAAATACCAACAAAAAAAATTGAAGAAGAACCAGCGGCTAATAGGTGCGGTTCCCGAATCTTTTCCAGATCCCTTTTTTTTACTTCTTTCTCTGGAGAATTTTCTCACGCCTAGCAAGGATAGCACTTTCTTGAGATCATTTAGAAAAATAAAGGGTCCTCCTTTTCGCGTCCGGCAACTTTCCAGGGACTCAATTCACGTGAGCCAGTTAGCCTTGATTTTTTTTCCGTTGAAAGTAAAATAACTTTTGTTGAAAAAGGAAATAAATTTTGAAGTATATTTCCATCTTTGGATACGTTTCAAATTCACGACTTTCCAGGGTCTTACTTGACGTGCGTTAATTAGTCTTGATTTTTATTTTTTTAAATCTTTTTCGTAAACTTAAAATAGCCGCAATCTCAAAGGACATCCTTCTCCTTTCATACGTTTCAATGTCACGACCAAAGTTTTTTTTTTAATTTTTAACTATTTTTGTGATACTCCATTTGATTTTACGTAAATAATAATTTTGTTCGGTTGAACCGAATTCTTCAGACTGTAGAAATATTTAAAAATTAGTATTTGCTTCATGTGTTCTATTGTCTGTTTAACTGCTTAATAGGGAATCAATTCTCATAGATGTTCAACTATCTACAGCTCGCAAATGATCGACAATTAAATGCGAGGGTAAGTGGTTACCCTTTCACTGGTGCCGTGGGTCTCTGAGACCCATGTAAATTTCTTATGTTACGTGCGTAAGTTTTTTTCGATGATACCAGGTAAGGGATAGGTAAAATTCTTTAAACTCACCTTAGGATAGTGTATGGGTATGGCTGATGTGTACTGGAACGACAAACTTCCGGGATACCCGTAGAATGGTATGTTCATGATGGGTGTATTGGAGTCATTGAAATAACCGAATGCCAATTTGGTACCGGATGGTGAGAACCAGAGAGCCTTGTTAGAGCTGAATACTTCCTCTGAAATGAAAACAAAATTTATAAAATAAAAAATGAGAATATTATGAAAAGTATCTTTATACGCCGTTTCACACATTTTTACTGTATATTATAAATATACTTTGTGTACGCGTGTGTGCGTTTTGCAGAAAATTATGACAATCTTGAAAATGATATGCTTTACTCGTATGCTACTGCTTTTGATTCTGTTTTCGATTTCAGACTGTAATTTTGCTCAATAGTTGCAACGTAATGGACGTTGATTCACGGTATTTGAAAAAAGAAATAATATACAAATTTCTGCACGATAACATACTACATAAGGTTATAAGATAATCCAGCTGAGTGCAGCCACACTGTGAAATATTTTGTTTATTTATAGTTAAGCTACTTGGTAAATAATATAAAGCGTGTATTATATATGTATATAGTACTTGTTCCAAGGGTACTGCTACACATTTCAAATATTTGTGCAAATTGAGATTCGCAAGGGTTACGTAGAAAATTTTACGGATCAATACCACGTGTTAACATCGTGCGTTTTATTACCATCCGTGTGTGAATTATTTTGAAATTTTGACGAATTTTGTAGAGATCGAAAACTTTTTTGTTTTATTTCTTACTTTTTTTGTATGTTTCATTATTTTCATCTCATCGCTTCGGGCGAAGCATATTTTCTAAAAATGGAACGACTTTATAAAGGAAAGCAAAGATACGCAGGGTGTTTCGTAACTCCTTCCGGGGAATCGCACCATCGAATAGAGGGTGACATTTTAAGCCATTTCTTACTTTTCATTGTATAATTAGACCCGTAATTTTCGAGTGATTAATTATCAGAAATTAATCAAATTCACCAATCAACTCGAACTGGTCTCGCCGCCTAGGGAAGTGGGCAGAACTACCATGTGACAGGCTGCAGAGAAAAAAATGCTTATCGAAAAGTCAAACATCGTTATACGTGATGATGGGAAGAGTGGGGAATAATTTTCGAAAAGACGTAGCCTACGGTCGATCTGAATCACAGCAGCAGCTGTTACCGAGAGGATTTCGCATTATCTACAATGCGTCAATTTCGATATTCGATTTTGCCCACTTTCCTTGACGGCAAGACAACTGTGAGTTGATTGGCCAATTTTATTAATTTTTAATAACTAATACCGGAAAATTATGTATCAGATCATAAAATGAAATTATGTATGGATTAGAATTTCACCCTTCATTGGACGGTGCACTTCCACGGAAAGAGTTTCGGAACACCCTGTATAAACTGGCCTTGAATTAACACGTGATAGATGGATCAGGATCAGTGAGCATCGTGAAGGAATAAAATGAAGAAAGAGATAAAAAAGGAGTTACTACGTTTAAAAGAAATTTGAAACCTAAGTAAATATTCAAGAACGTAAGGCCTTTGGAGGTTTTTTTTAAGTATTAAATATCTTATGTACATTGGTTTTTATTCCCTAACCGCTCTTTTTCGTTGATCCCCCTTTTTCCCCTTGTAAGACCATATCTTCTGCTTTGTTTCTTACCCGGCTTCCATATTGCATAAGTCATTTTTCTTCCCTCAAGATTCTCACTTACTTTTTCACTCTTTCACGGAACAAATTTGTTGTTTACCAAGATAAACGTTCTGGTGCTATTGGATTCCACACATGATGTTTTTGAAAAAAGAAAGGGTTGCAAATTAAAGGCCTAGCTTAGTACGTACAGTGCATGTGAATATGTATAGTGAAAAGTTCAACTAGGCATATGTTTAAAGAAAACGTGTCTGCTGTAAGGGATGAAGAGATTAGTAGGGAGAAAAATGGGAAGAGTAAAAACCAAGTTAATAGAAGTCTTTAAAATTTCTTTTAAAAAACACTTTCGTACATTTTGTTTTACAGTTTATGATTATTTTTCCGCTTCAAAAAATTGGGAGGAGGGAATGGTAATGAAGCAGAAAAATTTAAGAGAACTTGGCAATTTGAAACGACGAAGAATGATGGGAAAGTATACACGAAAAGAAAAGGAATAGCGAGCATAACTTTAACATAGGGTGGTTTGGCGTTCGATATGCACCCTTAAATGCGGCGGCTTTAAACGGATTCTCAAGAGCCTGTAAAATGAACTGAATGAGATGAGGTAATAAGGGATTCTATTTTAAGAGTGGGGAGTAGGAAATAAAACCTTCCGAGTCTCCAGGGGAGTACTTTCGATCCTGTAAAATTGCAGGGAAGGGATAAAATGGGATTAGGAACCACTTCCTTTTTAAACATCAGTAGAACAATCCACTTCGCGCCGTGAAACATCTATTTTAAGACCGGCTCCCAGGTCTGCTTTTACGCGCGTAAAATATACATATTTATGCCTTTATTATGTACCACCCTAAGTGTTGACGCGGTAAGGGATTATAGAGCATACTAAGAATATTTCATTAATAAAGTTATAAGCAGTAATCGTGATCACGAGTGTTAGGGTTGATACTCAGATCAGAGATTAATGTTCCCGCGAGTGCCTCTTAATGTTTAAATGGGTTAAAATAAAATCTTTTATACTATTTTGTATCAATGTATACCGGTACCAATGTGTAGAGACTTATGAGCGTAGTTGTAAAATTTTGCTAATACTTCTTATAGAGACAAAAAGTGAGAAATTCACTTAAGGGTGGTTTTGATTAGAGGTAGTAATCAGCTGTGGCAATATTTGTTGCTTGCTTTTGCTATTCAAAGATATCAAGTATTATATTCAGTATATCACTTTTTTTTCTACATTTTGTAATCATTTAAATAATGTATAAGATTATTCACGGTAATCGCCATCACGCGATGGACGGGCTAACTTCAGCCGGTGCGTTTGACGTGAATAGAACGTGTAATAATACATTATTCCTGGTACTCTAGCATTTTAGCAGCTTTAATGCTGCCATCGGTGAATTTCATACAAAACAACAAGATCTTTGTCAAACTAACTTGTACGAACATGTTTTGATATTTTTCAATTACCAATAGAGAATTTTCATAGTGAAAATAAATGCGAATAGTAAACTTAAAAAGTCATACAAAATTTCGCTATGTACACATATAAATTGCATACATATAAGCCTCATATTCTCATTTTCAAATTATTTCTTATAAGAATGTCACAAATGTAATATAATGCAGTTTATAACAAGTGACCAGTTTGTACGAACATAGTTAAATGTTGTTCACGTTCTTTTTCACTCAAAGGTTATCTTGATAATTTCCAACCGGCATAAGGGAACCAGCATAAAATTATATTTTCAAAATTATATTATTTCTATTTCTGAATTGCGTCATTGAACTCACAAAATAGGGAACGTATAGTTTGAAATTACTTAGTATGCCATAGCTGTAGGTAAGTAGAATAACCATCTGAGCTTTCGGAACGCTAGGGAATTTTATTGTGAGAAAGTGCAACATGAAAAAAAAATTCCCGGGAAAAGTCACAGTAGCATTCCTTGGATGTCCTCGTGAAGGGTATAGTCAAGCTAGCACGAACTTATACGTGCTTTCTATCTAGTACTGCTTGCACAACTTGGCCTCCTTCAGGAACTCCTAGTTTCTACTTACTATGTGGATTCTACGGTCTATAACCAAGCGTCTGCTCAGAACCTTCAACGAATCCTTAGGAAACCTTTAGATCTGTTTAAACTATGTCTCACGTCCAATTTATCTTACAATACTGTCGAACGAGTATACATTTATAATAATGTGGTACATGTTGTGACGTGTACCGTTCATCGGCGTCGCCTACAAATAATCCCGTGGCTGCTCCCAACGTGCTGTAATCAAAGAAAAGATCCGCAGATCTAATTGTTGGGCGCCAGGTGCGGCTTTCCCGCACCACCATCCCTCACCACGGCCGTTTTCAGGTTTCCCGGCGGCTCAGCCTCAGCGCACTGAAAATGGTAGAGGGGAACATGGGGGCGACGAGAGAGAATTTTGGATTCAACGGATAGGCGCGCAAAATGATAAAACAGCGAGTAGGATACCGTTCCGTTTATTACCATCAAATAAACGGCGGATTTTACAATACAAATCCGGTCGCGTACAGTGTGTCCTCCAACGGCGGCTCCCGACTATTCCGAGTCGTGATTTCTAGCCTGCCCAAGACCTGTCCCTATTTCGGTGTCCCTACCGAATCCGCGAATTCCTTCGCGGCGCGATTCGCGATCCTAACAGGTCTCGTTGGAGACGAGCCTTTCCTTCCTCGGGAGTGATATCCGCTATCGCCCGAGCACGGAAGAAGGACTTCTTTTTCGCGGTCCGCCGGACACCCGTGTCCTTACACGCGGACTCCCCGCGACACACTCTCTTTATCCTACCTACCGCTCTTCGCGGTAGGTCAAAAATCAAAACAAATCTCCTCTCCGGCGCCCCCCCCGCGGACCCGCAAACCGTAGCCGATCAAAGTTCCCGGGGTACCGGCAGTGCGTCCTGGCGGTTGAGCACCCCTTGCTTGCGGGCTCTCAACCCAAAAGGGCTACGTGCCTCCGCCGCCAGTCCACTACTTTCCCCCGTTCCCTCCTCCCAACCACGGACCTACGAACTCTTTGTAGATGGAGGCTGGAGGCACTGCCGTGCTGCCGGCAGCGCGCGGAGGTGCGGGGCTTCTGTAACGTGTCGTCCTGACGCCACGTTACAATGTATACATGTAGAATGGAAAGTAGATATAGTAAAATATGTTGGCCATACGAAAGTCATTTCTTTGTAAGCATAGTTGTTTGTTTGATAGTGATCCTAACGTGAATAGTAACATTATTAGTAATATTATCAATAAATATTGAATAACGAATATTTAAACGTTATCTAATAAAATATGTTTTTACGTTATTTTTTTCTCATATTTTTCACTTTATAGGCAACACACATATCGTATATTGTTACAAATTTTATGCAAAGCTACGTGCGACCTATCTGTGCGTCGCTTGTTTCCGATCTGTCAAAAAGACATATTACACACATGAATCGACAACATATACATTGATCGTAAGCATAGGTATAATATATGGTATGAAAAACTGGAAAAAGTTTAAAA